ATATTTTCAAATGAACTCAACTTGAGTGTACTTCTTGTGCACTATACGTGCATTACTGAAGTCTGCAGGTATATATCGTCGTGCTAAACAAATAATTGCGTGTCATGAATATATCAGCTGCGGTAATTATATTGTTGTTCTTATATTATTGAGGTGATATTTCGCGAGCGGTTAAATTATTATATTATAATAATATTGTCATTGGCGGTCGAGCTCACAGCGTGTCCCCCCCCCTCCCCGCACTTCCTTAACGTTTATATTTTATCAACCGTATCGTTTACCTCGAGTACTTACCCGTGCGGCCGTACTACATGTGTTCCATTTTAGACGGCATGTCCAGACTTGAGAGATTTGACGTCGTCAAGCCGACCGTTCGGCTGCTCATAAATGTCACGTTCCGGGCCGAAGAACAGCAGCCGCAGGCTTGCGATCGGACAGAGCACTCGCTCAAGTCCAAAGTGGCGGCGCCCCAAGAGCGGACACGTCCGCGCATGAGTCGATTTGTCCAGTTCGTTTACGTCGTGTTTTTACTTTTTTACGTCGACCGTCAGTTCCAGTAATAATATATTGGTCGGACGAATAATCATAGTTTGTATTTTAATACCTATTATTAATATGTTGATTGTATTGCGTATTAATGTTTATAGTTTTACTGTAGTCAGACGGTAATTTATACGTCCGCATCAATAATACACTGTACTGACTTTTAGGAATTAAGTTTATTTCGTATTCTACCTGCTGTTATTTTATTTTTCATTCTGGTTTTGCACATCATGTAAGTATCAATATTTTATATTCTATATTATAATATCATCATGTGAAGGCGAATTATTTTTGTACTCGCACGCTTGCTCCGTACTACCTATATACATACCTTTGTTAATTTTACTGTTATACGAATATATATACATATTATTATACCTAATACGTTCATTTTATAATAAATTACATATTATCTTTAGTATGTTTTATTATTTTATTTTACATACGTAATAATATTATGACAGTTGTCATAGGTATACCCGATATCGCGATAAATATACCTACTTGTGTACATTACCATATACATAGATTAAATAGACGCTTGCATGCTTGATATTATACACATGATTACACGAACAGTAAACAGTAGTAATGAGATATTCGTGGTGTTTGTGACTTGTGTACTAGTTTCTCCAATAGATACCTACTCACTATTCAGCAAAGTGATTCATACGTGTAATACGACATTAATTATTGTATACAGTCTCTTTGCTATTCGTACCGAATCAGCGTAAACGTCTTTCAGTGGTAGATATTGGCAAGGCTGGGCAAGTTGATTTTTTGAAATAGTGAAATATTATTAAATTAAAAACAAAATAAATTACCTGACTTAACTTATTTTTTAAAATGAAAAATTAATTCGTTAATTTAACGTTAATTAAAAAAGAAATTTAGTATGTTAATGAAAAGCCAAAAGTAACTAGTTAAGTTAAAAAGTTAAAACAAAATTAACTTTTTAACTCGTTAATTACCAGCCTTGGATATTGGACCATACTATAGGTACTGCGCGTGTCTTATTATGTCCCCTCCGGGCAGGTAAAAATAATCTGATTTGTACATTATTTTTTTTCTGGTTAAAAGTTTAACGAAATTCATGTCATAAATTAATATTTTATATAAATATTGTATTGTGTACAGGTTCAACAGTTTAACAGAATTACGTTAGGTTGTGTAATTTATGACATGAACAAGTGACGAAAAACAAATAAAAACACAGTTATTATTTATTAATAAGTTGTGATATTTATTTTCTAACTCATCTAACTCACAAATAATATGATTATCGTATCGTATCGTGTATATAGTAGACCCATTGTTACGGTTAACTAAACATAATTTTGCATATCAGTTAACTAGTACCTACTGTAATAGAGCCTACCTAGGACATTAGGACAATAAAACAAAAATAACAAATCATTTAATTCCTATAACATTATTGTTTATTATTTTATCATTAATTAATTATACATGCCATACATGTAAGAATCGTGGTACGTTGTGAGTAGAAAATTACAATTAAACAAATAACAACAACACGCTTGTGATACATTTATAATTTATTATTATACTACTTATATATATATCGCGTGAGCTACAATAGCTCACTACCCGTACTTAGTACAAGGTAGTGCGAGTACAAACCAATCGAGAGATTTTGCGGCTAAAAACGGAAATGAGACAAATAAGGGGGTAGGGGTCGTTTTGTAATACGATTCCCTTTTTTTTATTTTGCCTTGGCGTACAATCAAAAGGGTTAGATTCGCGACTGAAAATTTGAATATGAAAAAAAAATGATTTATAAGAATATAATCGTAAACAAGGAGGGGCGCGCCAAAGCGGGTGCCTGCCGTGGCGCACAAATTATATACAAATCAAATTCGTCGGTCCTTATGACCTAAACAAAATTACAATCAAAAAGGTTTTTCGTTAAGATTTATACGTTTATTGTCAATTTAATCATAATTACGTCGCCGCTTTATGCTTTCATCGTTTCTCTAATTATTTTCGAATCGAATCGAATATTACATTATGGCCTCCATAAGAGCAGATACAGAACAATCAGGCGCTAAACAGGGGGAGTTTCCCCCGCCCCCTCCAACGGAAAATACTATGAAGCCCACCCGAATTTTTTTTGTGTATGCACCTGAGAACGATCGTGTTGATTTCTAGTTTTAGTGTTTAGATTTTAAAGTCATCGTATATACCTACGAGACAAAACCACAAGTTATAAATGCATGTATAGAAAAATTTAGTACCATTATGCTTCCATATACAGCCACATATATAGTTGCATTGTAATTACAATTTTATTGTATTTATTACTTTTCGCGTACTTTACTTACTTACCGAACAAGTATAATTAATAAATACACCCACCCAAAATTGTAGATAAGAAATGATTTTATCGTTTAGGATGATCGAATTAAATGTTTAGATTTTAAAGTCATCAAATATATAAACTATATACAAGACAACAACGCAAAATAATAGTTGCGTATATATAGAGAAACATAGAGCTACTTTTTAATTTTCCATATACAGCCACATGTATAGTTATTAGTTGCGTTGTAATTTTAATGATTTTGCTTTCATTAATTTTTGAGTACTTTATTTATGTACTAAATAAGTTGAATTTACAGTGAGGTATATAAGAAACCAACACGACTTAAAAATTTCGGCTAAAAACGTGGACCATGACTCTTTTTGGGGCTCGATTATTTTTAGATCGATCAATAAATGTGTCGAAAGGTTTTACCGAATTTATATAAATTTGTAAATCGTTAATTTATTATTATATTACGAAGCATTGAATCGTCGTAGGCAGTCTGATGGTGTGATTGGGTAGTAAAACACGTTATGTCAGAATTCATTTCCCCTAATATATCTATATATGGTAATAATTTTAAAAGAAAATATAGAGGACGTTACACGGACAATTGTTGTTTCCGTCTTACAAATGTGTAACATATAATTATACGCTAATTTTCGCTAAACGTGTTCTGCTGATGGTACAATTTAGGTACTATATTACGCACTTGCACGGCGGAGACAACAAAATATGTCGGTGTAACGTCCTCTTAATAAGTATCATATTATGGTGGTGGTTTGGAATATAAATCAATGGTTATAAACTGATAACAGATAATCCTTGGTTAATGATGGATGTACCAGGTACCTATATTTGTATTTATATTATGATCTACTAGGAAACTCAAACCTAATATGTTTTCGATAATTTTCTCATTTTTGCCTTTTAACCGGGTACATGCTGTGTAGTGTGTACTGGAAATTTTGTGGACGGTCACGGTGGCGGTTTGGGTTAGATGCGTCAGGCGCGGGTGACGGGCAGGCCCCGGTGGTTCCGGATAACACCCGTATTCGGCCCGCCCGTGGCTCAGACTTTACACGATCAAGATACCCTGCCTACTTTTGGTTAGAAAAAAAAAATACAACACACTATCCTTAACATAAAGAGACGTCTACTCATTCCCTAATCCGCCTAACAAGTAGTCCGCGCCCAGACGAGCGGTCGTCCGTGCCCCTTCTATAGATTTCTATGACATCGCTCACCTCAACTGCACATACCACCATCCCCTATATGCGGTTCCCCCTCCTAGCCTACCCAAAGCGGCGCTAGTGCAGTGTATATAATAGAGAAAAAACCATGCCTATTACACTGCACTAAACGAAACCGCTTAGAAACATGCAGATATATGATAAACTGTAACAGTTGACAGGTGAGGACCGACGTCCGGTAACAATATGATAACTCGGGGTTGTCTGCTTAGCTGAGCTGGGCAAATATAAGGGAATCGAGCACTACGACGAAGTGAGGGGCACGCGGGCGGTTCGGGGCCGGGTCCGGGACTTGCCGCGAACACTCACGCAACCTTTGCGTCTAGCCGTAAGCGCCTTAGCCGGTTCCGAGACCACTTTCATGACCGCGGTGGCTGAAATATATAATGGGAACTTCCGGTAATCAAAACTGGGACAAAATACGAAATCTATGATATAATAGTTGTTATAGAGAAATTATAATGATATTATGTTCTTGTAAAAAAAACGGGTTTAATCGAGTTCTTGCAGTATAGGCATTTTTTGTAACGCGATAATAGTTTTAGTGTTGCTGCGATGACGAGATCAGTAGCCCGAATCGTTGTATTGAAGCGATATTAACCAAGGTGAAAACTAATGTGCATTACTACAGTTTCATGAGCGTGTTCACTATCCCTATCGAAAATAACGATTAAAATATTCAAGTGTAATTTGACCCGGACGACGACGATTCTTCGCTGTCATAATACCTATATTATCTACATTATTAACACCTAGGTTAAACCTATACTCGTCTCGCCTATATACGGCTATATGAGTGTACGTGCAATAAAAATTTTGAATACAAGCAAAATAATACACTTAATTTAATTTTAATGTTGTATTTGTCTTCTTTTCTGTAGCTGTCTTGCAAAGAATCAGAGATTCCTGTCCACCATTTGGACGCCCGGGCAACAGATTTAACGTAACGGTGTTGGGCACTATATCACCGACAATAGGAGGATGTGCTTCTATGGCACCACCAAACCACGATGTTGTACCATCGTTTAATTTGTGGATGGGCAGTCCCAAAACCGGTGGCGGAAACTGCGGCGAGAAAAGTAAGTACAACAAATCTTTATTATTACAGCACAAGGGTGATGGGTGCGGGTTCTTCGGCGGGTCCTTTGTTTGAAGAAAGCTCTCTCCATCTAAAACCATGAGTACCTATATTAAATAGTATAATATATTATAATCGATATTTGTTCGTGTAAAATTAAAAACGTGCACAGTAAATACCTTTTAATCTCACTGCAAATTGTACAGGTGATCGCGTCTGTTGTGACTGCAGTTTTCGAATGTTCGTCTCTGCAGATCACCTGCACAGAGTACAAATTTCACAAATTTCATATGGGTACACATATATTTATATATGTTGAATTTAAATGGTCGTTTATAGAAATAAAATATAAAAAACATTTCAACGCCAATGCAATCATTTATCACTTATTATTTGAATTTGGATTCGACTCACTAGTGACACATGGTGGCTATAGAGACGAGTATAGAAACTTATTTCCCACTCCCTTCTGCCACTAGTGAGTCAAATCCAATTTTAAATAATGAGCGATACATGATTGCATTGACGTAACCTGTCCATAATGCTATTTAATCTATACTTTAGGTAAACTTTTGACATCATCAGTAATATGAAGTATCTATATAATACATTACAATTACCTGTCATGTGACTCGATCGTTTGTCCTCTTAATTTCTTCTTACAGATTTGTATGTATTTTATCACATAGTACTGCAGTAACAGCGGTACATGTTCATCAAATCTTTCCCTATAACAGATTTTCCAAAAATTAATATGAAGCTTGCGAATAATAAAAATCCTAGACTTTACTCAAAGTTCGTATCAAAATACATTTTTAATAAGGACCTATTATTAGACTAATAGTTTATATTATTAGAATAAAATGTCTTAGTAAATATGATCAACAATTCGTATACACAGTTTCGTCTTTCTTACTAGACAAAATATATTTTATAAGAATAAAATATATATTTCAGAAAACATATTTAGTTCACCTATAATATGTTAAGTTTTGTTTTAATATTCTATATAAATTATAATATCTTATACATTTCACCATCGATTGACATGCATACACTCTCTCAAGTCTCAATTATAACACAAATATGAAATTCTCGAGCTTATTTATATTTAGTAACAAATCACCCAGGTATAATTTTAAGAACATCCGAATATATAAGCTATGACGTATTCGCATGTAAATGTACACACAAAACGAGCGCTAAAGATTACGTCTTAATGTGTCAACAAAAATACTGATTCCATAAAAATTAATTATGAAAAATAAATAAACTATTGTATTCATCATATTAATTTATTTTTTCTGTTCTTTAACTAACAGATATGGACCACTACATGTTTGATTGTATGGCAAAATACCCGTTTTTCACAGAGGAAGACACACTAGAGGGCTGGTATGTAATGTTATACGACCGTGGCGCTCGGTGGATCGGAAGTCGAGACTACAGATGTGCTGTGAGTATACTATGTTTACCCATACATATTCTATAAAATATTATATAATACACTATTTCCTATGTAAACTAATTTGATTCATCAACTGGGTCAGTAGAAGAGCGACAACGACGCGAATTCTTAAGCCGAATTCACAGCTACGTCATGTGTCGTGTCGTGCTAGGGCTTGGTTATTATGTTTAAAACTGGTAACCAATATGGTTTAAAAGTTGAGCTGTAATAGTCAATTATTGGTATACTCAGTTTAAACTTGGTTATTACATGATACTAAAATAGTAATGTCCAATCACAATACGATTTGATCGACAAGACACTACACGACACACGGGGAAGCTTTGAATATGTGAAGCTTTATACACACACCCGATTTAAAGCGGTTGACTGGTGATATAACACATATTATAGGTGTGCTTGGGTAGTTTGTTATAAATTACTATTTTGTGCGTTTGGAAAGCTCAAAATGTCTACTCTGAAAATTAAAAACGAATAATAGTTCTAATGGGCTTATATTATTTTTATCTCAGAACGGCTAGCAATATCTATGAAAACAATACCTCTGCCCAAAGTGCTCCTGGCATCTCCCTCAACTCCCTCAACTTTGATCGACTTAAAACATTGTAAACCAAATTAAATTGATGAAGCTCTCATATTGTATATAAAAACAAAGTGACCCAAACGATATTTGATGGTTTTATCGTTTATACATTACATATATATTTCTTATAATAAAAAATATATGCGTTATGTCAATAATGACGTCTAATCATCAAATAATCGTCAATAAACACCAATCAGCAACTTATACATAATTGCCTTTAAAAAAAAATATATATATTTCACTGGCAAATAGTTAAAATTACTATAGTTATCGTAGATCATTGTTCGTTGTTCATCGTTGTCTTTAAACTTTTATCACTTGTTATTTAACTATAATCTTATTACAGTGAAATCTGCGAGCCAAAGTCACAACGACGTTGATGGTTGGGGATAGGATTGGGTCTCAGTGTACTTATAATTATAATATACTAGCTTTCCCTATGTACTTTGTTGCCTGTAATAAATGCCACCTCTGGAAATTGAATCCATAAAACTATGCTTTAAACTTGCTTCATAAAATACTCTATCACTTAAAAAAAACCGCATGACTATTGGGTGAATATTTTCGGAGCCAACCTGTTACAAAGATTTCCATTTTCGCTTTTATATAATATACAACTAATATATATACATAGATATTTTACGTTACGGTTGATTAATTAATTTCTTTCTTTTTCTGTTCACCTTACTTCAGTTGTACAAAACGGTTAAAGAAGACCCACCAATTATCCAGATGGTGATTAGTGGGAACGAATCGTGCAAGGGTCTATCGAGGAGAATGGAACAATCTGAGCATACGGTTTCCGAGGGGTTCCGACATTTTACCGATGGATCGATAGCTCTTCTTTTTAGTAGAGACTTACCACCAACGCCCGTGCTGAGGAAAAAGCGGTCAGAGGAACAGGGCCGTGGATGCAGGTTAGTGTCGTAGCGACAACATTATTTACACGTCATATCATTATATTATAACATCGTAGGTATTCAGTAGCGTACCCAAGAATTTGATAAGGAGATATATACTCCACATACTTAATAGATAATTAATTTTTTTTATTTGGTATCTAAATACAAGTATATAGTTAACTTCATAGCTAACATACTATACATATTATAAAATCATGTCTTTTGAAGGCAATTAGTTAGCAAACGTAGATAATAAATGTCAACTTATTTAGTTGGTAATATTTGAGTAGTATTAAAATAATAAATATATGTATTGTCAAATGTTTAAGTATTTATTTACTCAAATAATAATGGTACAAAGTACATATAGCTTACAGCACTGGTCTCTGATAATAATATATGCTAGGACCTAGTAAGGAATTTAATTTAAGTTATTTTAATGTGTGGTACCCGTTTTAATAACGCATAACATTGCGCATTTTAAGTTCAAAAAAATCTAATTTACTCTGTTAATTTAAATATTAGAGTGAATCAAACTAGGTATTATTAAATTTTAAGATAAGAAAGCCCCTAAATATAATACAATTATTTTGATATTTTAATTTTAAAGCTACGTTATTATAGCATTTTATTATTTAAATGTATATTATCTATTTTTAATGAAAAACTAACATAATTAATGGGTTTTTAGTGCATTAAATTAAAATTCTTAAAAATGGCTAATATATAAATTTTCAAATATTTTTAAAGACATAAATTAGTTAATTTACTCAAACTATTTGTATGGATATATAATTAGTAGATTAATATATGCGTGTATATATATATATATACATTTATATATATATATATATATATACATATATTATATAGATCTAGTATTCTTATTAATACTCTATTTAATATTAATATTATATTTAAATAGTAAATGGTATAATTTCTATACTCCACAATAGCCCATCATATTTTTACTATAATAATACAATTTAATATGCTGCATATCGTGAAAAAGTAAACGACCTTGTATAATTTAGGTTTCCAGATTGGTCACAAGGATCATGGACAGATTTAAAAGTAGATGAAAGTCTGATAAGCTACGAACCTGCCTTCCATGATAAAGACGACGTTGACTACGGTCAAGAAAGCGAAGATGGAAAAGACGGAGATCCAGAAAATATTGCTGGAGAACCTAACATGCAAAGGTCGCAGAGACATGCTCCTATTGGAATAAGTGGTATCGATCACGCAAGTTCTCATGATTCACGATCGCATAGAGGCCGAAGATCCATTCCATATATAAATACCGTTAAAATGTTCCGGACCACCACCGTCCAAAACAACCCATTAGACGGAGATTCGATAAAACATCAAAGTAATGTATTCTCAGACCAACCAAAACCTCTCTCAAACACTAATATGCAATTTCCAGAATCAGTGAAATCCTCTAGCAGGTTTGATTATAAAGACACAACTACAACCGGTCCACAGGATTATCCTAAAGATTTGAACAACGATGAATTTGAATGGAATATCATTCTTGATCAACTTCAACAAATAAAAGACCTGGATAACCAACATGATGATTATAAAGACACTACTACAACCGGTCCACAGATTTACCCTAAAGATTTGAACAAAAATGTATTTGAATGGAATGTCCTTCTTGATCAACTTCGACAAAGAAAAGACCTGGGTAACCAACATGATGATTATAAAGACACTACTACAACCGGTCCACAGAATTACCCTAAAGATTTGAACGAAGATGAACTTGCATTTAATATCATTTTTGATCAACTTCTACAAATAAAATACCTGAGTAACCAACATGATGATAGCGAGAAAGAAACAAACAATGAAAAAGAGAAATGTTTTTGCTACACAGATTTCGAAGCTTTTACACCGAAAAATGATAAAGACAAAATGGAAATTTTTAATAAAGTAAATAAATATTCATCAACACAAAAATACCCTGAGAAATTGAAAGAGAAATCAAATTATCCATTTGATGTATTTGAACTTCGAAAGAAAAGGGAGTTGGGTGACCAAGATGTCAAGGAAGACACAAAACATCGACAAAAGATAAATTACAGTGATAGAGATTTTGAACCTTATACACCAGATGATATGGATATACCAATAATATTAGACGGAAAGTATATATTTTCAATTAAAAAGAAAACAACAAATTTGAACAAAAAATTTTATCCATTCGATTATGAACAGCGAAAAAAAAGGGATGTGAAACACTCACTTAACTATGGTGAAGAAAAAATTGACAATGAAAAAAAGAAATGCATTTGTTATAACGATACTGAAGGTTTTTTACCAAGAAATTCTATAATTATAAAGAAAGAAATTGACGCGTTGATTAAATATCCTGAGGAAGTAAAAGAGAAATCAAATAATCCATTAAACATACTTGAACATCGAAAGAAAAGGGAGTTGGATGACCAAGATAATCATGACACGGAAGGCACACGAAAAAAAAAATGTATTTTTTCAGAACCGACAACAACAACGCAGCGGTACATAGATTTAAACTTTGAATACCCCTACAGTGGCCCACCAAGGGACCCATCTGAAGAGCCAGAAGAATATTTTGGGACAACAGAAGACCCTAGAACTTATTATCTTAGAAAAGGTAGGTCTATAATTGTAGACAAAGTTAAAGGAGATGATGAAGAAGAAGTCCGTAAAGAAATTAAGATTACAGATGATCTTAATAGAACAATACGCTGGTGGAAAATCATGCAGGCTATTGAATATCTCAGAAAAAGGTCCATCTGGCAGTCAAATGAAGACATTAAATTTAATAAATATGACAATATACCACCAGTAACAGCTTTAGTAAGGTATCTTAAAAATGCTGAGGCAAATGGAGTCCCGTATAAACAAGCATTATTAAATTGGCGGACTATGGAACGTGAGTATCGTCAGCGGATATCTGAAACCCTTTACACTGCCTTTCTCGGCCTAAATCATCCAAATACCAGTATGAGAGATTTTTATCAAACACTTGATGGTATAGAATACGACTTTGATCCGATGCACCCTGAAGGTACAGCTGATGACACAACAGCATACCGGCCTCTTACACTGCCAGGTGGTTACCAACAAGAACCCCAACTATCGCACAGTACTACGTTTGAACAAAAACAGTCAACGGAGTTTGGTCCCATTCATGTTGTAGATATAGATGACAGTGCAGACCAGGGAAATACCCAAAGTTTAAATCAACGGAGGAGACGTAGGTCTACACGGCAGAATCACCAACAGCATGCAACTACAACATTTACATGGCGTTGTGAAATGGCTGTTGACAATGACGTTAAGCAACTTCCACAGTTTGAAAACGGGGCCAAGTTCCTTACCTATGGTGGTCGTGTAGTTGAAAACAATGAAATGACTGGAAATAATGATCAACAGTAAGTTAAAGTTTTAAACTATTATATGAACGCACAATTTTTAAACTATAACGAATATAATACTATAATACGTGTGCATATTATATTGTTTTAATAGAAACGAACAAGGCTCAAAAATGACTTACGGGTGCTTGTCGTTAGTGCCTAGAGGGCCAAACATTTTAGAATTTTCCATAATAGGTGAGAATTTATTGTGTATTAGATATTATATTACATTAATTTCAACAATAAAATATAATGATTGCAAAAAAATGTATAAAAATGTAACCTTAAAATATTCAGGAACAGGCAATCCAAAAAAAAATCAAAGTATGCAGACCTTCGCAAGGCAATTGTGCAACGAAAACCATGTTCATGGTAAGGACACTGGTGCCAAAAATGAGAAAAATCTTCGCCTACGCCGGCCTTCGTGGGTAACCGAAACACGTGAGTATGCTCAATAGCAATATAAGTTATGTAAACTTACATACCAGTAGCTAGTTTTTTAATATCTAGGTAATATTAGGTGAAAGAACCTATGTAAGGAACAGGCCTATGTATCTATTTTTGGTAAAAGGTTTTTGTTAGTGTACAAGATATTTAATATGTTCAATGATCGTTCTAGATCCATTGATTTTTTCAAACTATAACAAATACCTATAACGTTACAGGTTATTATTATAAGTGATGTAAATGTGCTTAAAATAATATACCGACTAATTACCGAGATTTAAAAAAAGTCATTCCGTTTTGACATATTCTTTACTCAATCATACTTAATTTTAAACTTAACTTAAACAACTTAAACATAATATTTTTTTTAAAGTTTTTTATACATTATCATTAGGATTGTATCATAGTTACTCGTAGTAAATATTTAAGACCATAATCTAATAATTTGATTCTTACCTAAGAGGAATACTGTTGAATTGTTTCTTAAATGATCGAAAATCCACAGGAACCGATGATAAGAAACGTGTGCCTGTCAGGTGTCCTGTGCCCCCAGGTATAGTGTTTTACGGCGTAGTCCCAGCTCCACCACCACCTTCTACGGTATCCACAAACAAAGATCAGATTACACCATTGCGACTTTGTGCCAAGTTGGTATCTTCTGCAGATGACTGTACGGCCGGACAAATGGGACCAGCTGACCAGATGAAATATACTGTATCCGAATGCGTTGAGCAAGACTCCTCAACTGGCATTTCTCAAACAGAGGTTGTACAACAAACAATCTTTGAAGGTCAGTTTATTATTATTATTATTAATATTATTTATATTGTAGTGCAAATTATTAGTCTTAGTATTCTAACTTAAAAAATTGTAAAACTTGCGTGATAATCATATGTTCCAAGTAGTAATGGAATGTATTTCTAAAAAAATAAAAATGAACATGCTTACAACATAAAAATATATTTTACCCTTCAAAGAACTGTTATTCAAAGTTCAATCATTGAAAATGTTGTTTAGCTGTAAATAATAATTACAGTTAATTTACATTACTAATTACTAATTCTACAAAAACTCAAATATTTAAGATTCTGAGCGTTGAATGTATTAATTTTACAATGATGATGTCTTTTTATTATGTATGTATATTGTATACATGAAAATTAGACGAAATAATTGATTTTCAACTTTAGTATCTTTTCTGGTGGGAAAATGAATATAGTTGGAAAAATAAAAAATAAATTAAGGAAAACAAGGATTTTACGCAAAATGAGTTTTCAAAAAATCGATAGTTTTTTGTTATAAGTACAATAGATACATAACATTTTTACTGGTTGTTTATATTAACATTTTCAATATATTTTGACTTTTTTTGAGCTATTTATAGGCATTATACATTTTCAATTTTATTTAGCTTAGTTATTGTCAATATAAAATTGTTCTGTTTGTCATAATATATGAATATTTAATACAACGTTTCACATAAGTTATTGTTAGTGAATATCAAAAAATAATCGATCATAAATCTACAATATTTTTTTTATGAGAGTCTGAAGTTAGAATTCTGATAAAAGTCGTCATAATAATTAAAATTACAAATTATTTTAAGTAGATATTTATAAAAATATAAAAATATCTAAGATTTGAAAATTAAATACCTAAAAACTTTTCATAAGTTTTCTTCCCTAAAAAAATAAAAATAAAAATAACAGAAGATAAATTTAATTTTTTTGAGAATTTGATGTTTGACATTTAAAATTCTCCATAAATTAACGAATTTTCATCAAAGGATTTTCTTATTATTTTGTAATTTAAAAAGGAATGAGTAACCATCGGTAGGAATTTTAAATTTTCAAAAAATGTGTAACTTATAAACTTCTATACATAATACAATTTTCAAAATATATTTTTTTAATATTTAAGATAGAAATAATTAATAAAATTAAAAATGTTTGTTTTGAGCTATTTATATTTTTTTACTGTAGAAGTCAATAAAAAGTTCTCTTGTTGTGTAAAAATGCTTGAAATTTTAATACAAGGTATCTCATAAGTTTTAAAGTAGAAGTTGAAAAATATTAAAGATATATATTATGCAGATTTTTTTTTATCTTATAACAGCAATTTAAATTTAAAATTTTACAAAATTCGTTAAAATCTTAAAAATGAGCAAGTGATTTTTTAGTTGAAAATTTATAAAATGTTCAATTTTTATAGCTTAGTATTGAAAATGTATAACAAGGTTTCTCGTAAGTAGTTTGTTCTGTTACGAAAAAATCTAAAAAAAATATAATTTTGCAGTTTTCCTAACAGATATTTGAAGTTAGGATGAAATTGGATATTTAATCAATGAATAAGTATTTTAGATATTTTGTTGTAATTTAAAAATATTATTCAAGGGTACGTATAGTATTCATTGATACTTTTAAAGTGTATTATCGTATTTTATACACTAAATGACATTTTAAAATGTAATTTTTTAGGCAAAAATGTTTCAAATTTACTTTATTAGTGCATTATAATTAATGTCTAATAGTAAAATAAATTTATTTAATAGCAATAATATCGTAAAATATACTAAATTTAACACATTCATTGCAATGGCCTCTCCAGATACCTACTGTACAGCAGAGCGGTACCCACTTGCCCAATTTTTTTTAATTAATACTACTTAATATAAGTAGGTACATTAAATCATTAAATCTCAAATATGTTAATGAGTTAAATTAAATAATAATATGTTTATAAAATTGAAAATTCATATTCGTATTTAACTATATGAATTAATACAACAAAAATACAAGAAAGAAATCACAAAAAAAAATATAATTATAATATGAAATACCCAAATACCTACACGATTTTATTTTCTTCTTTATACATAGGTATACCCAATTTGTAGTTTACTGCTCATGCTCTAGTAGAAATTAAATTCTAAGATGAACCCTGATTGTAATAACTATCTATGTGACTAACGTATTAAAAAATATAAGAAAATGATTAATATGTGTACCTTTTATAATATTTTGACTTCCATCTAATGTATGATGAATTCCGTACATGAAATTGTCAAATAAAACTTTAGTATATTTTTCTTGAAAGCACATTTATAAATATTATATTTTCTCCGTGATCCGATAATTTGACCTCAATATCTTCCGAAACATATTACCAACGAATTCATTCATAGGGATAGCTAAACATATTAAACAGACATATTTTATTATTTTTCAAATTGTATTAAGCAAATACACTGATAGATAGATAATGAAACGTTGAGTAGGCACTTGCCTTTTTTTCGAGATGCGTGATCATTTCTAAACGCACCACCAATAACGGCGTTTGTTACAAACGTGGTGGCATCAAGAGCATCTTGCCTAACTGTACCTGTTGCTGAAAGGAAATTTGCACGCACGCACATGTGAAAAAAATATAAACCGCCGTTCTCAGAGCGTACAAAAATATTGTCATTACACTTTGGACGGCGGCCAATGTGTGTCCACGTGATCAGACAAAACAAAAAAAAAACAAAATTTACACACACACACATACACACACACACACACAAATAAAATATCAATTCTACAAAAAGCGTTAACACACAAAAACAACTCTAAGCTACTGACTTGCAACTTACTAGGCGACTCTAGACGCCAATAACGATGGTTGCACACAGACACGGTGGGACCGTTACACCGTACCTACGCTGCCTTACCGCCGCCTTTACAGCGACCGGCGGTGGCGCGATTCCAACTGCCGGTCCCCGTCCGCCGGCCAATCCATACGCCACCGAGTATCATCAAACTACAAGCTCCGGGATCACTACCTCCCGCTCAATAAAATAACATCTCTTACAATCCCAAAATATGGTGTCAGACGAGCCTCACGCCACGCGTTCCATCAACAACGTGTTTATACGCATGGCGTGTGGTGTCCAAAGGTGTATAGGGTGTTCAATACCGATTACAGAGTGCACCGTTGAGTCTTGTCTTCTGGATCCCTCTCCGTCGTTCCAGCGACAGTCAAGTTAACAATTCCTTGTCGACTCTGGCTATCTCTGGCACTGTTGGTCGTCGTCGTTGTTCCCCTCATATTGAACACTATACGCATATCAAAAAAAGAAACACACACGCACACACATATCGCTCCATATTAGCTCATGATCATAACATGTTATACCTGTTATTTACATTTTTATAGGTATAGGTATTATATTATTTTGTCATTTTGTGTTTATCGTTTGTGTGTATCTTATTTACACATATTTATGGTGATAAATATTAGCTGCGTCCAGAGGGTACACTGTCGGTGGAAGTTGGCGGAGGAATAAACGTCACTCAGCTCCAACAGATACGTCAACCGTGGCCTCACCTGTGGTAACAACATCTACATCATCCAACATACCAATTTTTCCATTCAGTAGCAACAACCCTTCGACAGGGACGATAGACAACATAACAGACCATCGTATGATTGGGTCAACAGCCACCATTTCGAGTCCTATGACTCCATCCTCTATGATATCCAGCATTACTGAAATTCCACCGTTCGCAGGCATCACTACTATAGATCCTACAAATGTTACTACTACCACTGCTAACACTCTCTTGACAGCTACAGCATCGATATTTCCATTATCTTCACCACAAGAGACTCCCCCCGAACGACAACTACCGTCATTCTCAAAATCGGCTACTACTACAACTACTCCTTCTACTTCCACCGCCTCTGTTACCACTACCTCCTCCTACCACCAGGTTACAGATTATCAATATCGTCAACAGCAACAGTGGCAGCAACAACACCAACAACCGAATAATAATAACAATGATTATTATTATTACCGAGGACGGCAACAACATTATCCCCCACCAACACTTGGCAGCACCGGTATGGATAATAATTACTATTATATCCAGCAACAACAGCAACAGCAACACCCACAGACACAACCACATTGGTTGACTCAACAACATCCTATTGCCACCAACGACTATAGTAATGGTTATCAGCATCAAGCGATGGATAGCGGTGGGTACAGGACAGGCGATTATTACTATCGCCAGCAACAGCAAAATTATCATAACCATCAACAAAACAATGATCGCCAGCAACAAACACCGCAGCCACCACGTAACTCGTCACTTACGCTTCAACATCCAAATGGTGGTAGTTGGAATGTTCGTGGCGATCGACCGCTATACATAAGTAGTGGTGGTGGAGGGGATAACAACCGAGACGCACCAGTTGCTTGGAACAGCTCTACTAGTACTAGTAGTAATTATAATGGTGGTTGGACGACAGCAGCACAACAGCATTGGTGGTACCAGCAACAGCAGCAACAACAACAACAACAACAACAACAACAACAACTACAACTACAATTGCAGCAGCAGCAGCAACGGCAGCAGCAAAATAACCGGGGTCTGGGTGGAATCTTATCACTGCCACCTGTACCATTGCCGCCACTGCACGCGGAACAGGGTGCTGTCACCATTTCGATGCCTACACCACAGCCACTGCATCCGCGTCGACAACAGAAACCTCCAAATCATTACTACCTGCCAACGCTGACTACTAAGACCTCTTCTCAGCCATACCAACTCAAGCCTAAGTCTGAGAGTCGATATTATCAAGGTATACTACGATTGCCGAACTATAATTGACATCTCAACCATCATCAGCACACGAATCACTACTACCAACACTACGGTCACCTGTGTTTGAATACTTCACAATTTTATAGCTTCGTCTTCACATTATTTTCTGTTTGTCTTTTAGTCTCTTTACTCTCTGTGAACCACCTCCTCGCACTACACCATCACCATTAGAATATATGTTTCATTTGTATACAAAAAATGTATCACCGCTGACACTATTACATTTTTAAATCATAGAACATATGATATAATACATAGACCTATTAAGTTAATAGATTGATTTAAAATAAAACAATGGATGATTTTAAGTCCCAGATAACGGTTTTTCTTGAAAACCTATGAATTATATATAATTATATATAATCACAATTTAAGCCAATGTATCGAAAACCATATTATCATCGAATTAAAAATGCATCTCCTTGTTTCGCTTAAAGTGCTTTTGCGTTATCCTTATCTATTTACTTAACAGGTCTATGACGAATACACTATTAATAATACAAAATACTTATAGACATAATTTTATAATCATAATATCACTTAGTGTAATAAATGTGTGCTAATTGATTATTTTTTTTTTGTGCAGAAAGAGAGTACCAGTGTATTGGCCAATGGACTGAACCACAGGAACACTTCAGCCCGGTGGCTGGTGAAAAACCAGTTATGTTGACGTATACATATTTAAAGCGTTTAAGTCCTGTCTCCAAAGAAGGGACCCAGTATGAATGTTTCGTTGGAACGCCAATACCCAACGATGAAGGTGTAAATCCTGAAACTACTACCACAATATTGTTAACAGAGGCAGGAACAAATACTAAGTGCAGTCGCCTTCAGGACCCATACCGCTCCGGCATGAAGTTAGTCGGAACCAAAATTAAGAAAGAAGGTAATAACTAAAAACTAATAACAATAAAGTAATTTTAGTTCCTTATCGAAGATTTTCAATCGGTGTATGCTAAAATTAATATACATGTGATATCTATGTATACATGGGTTAGTTCTATTCTCATATTTCTCATTCCTTCTTATAACATTTCCTGATTTCCCACTTTGAAAATAATTATAAATCGACTAAAATCGTTCCTACTGTTTTCTCGATCAAGTACTGCTTATTATTTTATTGCAGTTATGGGTAATAAATTTAAAGCTCATAGAGACGTAAAATGTTCTACGGTTTTCAGGTGCATGTAAAGGATCCGCACAACCAGTACAAGACACCACTGGTGGTTCATGGTACTCCCTTAAACCACAGTCAATTTATCCATCCATTCCCGGTGCTGAAAATGGAGGAGGAGCATGGTACGCAGCGCCGCCTGTCCCCGTGATCGCCGCACAAGGTCCAACCACTATGATGCCTATCCTTACAGGCAGGCACACCGGTGGTAATGGTTAGTATTAACTTTTAAAATTTGCTTGCAAATACTTTAATTATATTATAATATTTTGACGATAAAGTTAAGATCAAACTGGTTCTATTTCCAGTCTAATTTACGATGACTCCTAATAAATATTATCTTATTTATGTAATCATTGTTGTCAGTTTCATATTTTTTAATCTAATGATGTAGGTACATACATACATTACAAGGTTAATTTTTTTTATCAACAGACTGTTAATTTTACATTCTCAGTTTTTTCTTTTACTACAAACGTTGTTATATGTTCACAGGCGCTACATTTACATCACGTCACAACGAACAAAATCGTCACCCACAGTCAGCGAACCTACCCCCTAAAACCAACCATAGCTTCCGAACCGTAGCCGACAAGAGAATCGTCATACTAGCGGTTATTCTATTTACAGCACGTCGCTTTTTCAATTAAATTATCTGATCAAACGTAAACATAACGTTTGTACAATATTTTATAGTAATAACAGTAAAATCTCAAACCCGATTAATGCATAATCTAGGTCCAACTCAAGAGATAGGTGAATTTAATTCAGTCCATTAATATAATATACTCAAAAGACATGAAATACTGCTTTTAAAATCTAATAAGTTGGCCCGGTACTAGTTTAGTTTTGAATAGAGTATATAAATCTAAAAGTGTAGACTTATAATATAAAGACATATAACATTTTTTTATACATTTTCATAATACAGTTCATTAATAGGTACCTATCGTAATATTCCGTATTTGTCATTGAGAAAAAATGATGGTAAATATTATTATTAATTATAATTAGGTGTGGTTTGAGTAGGTAGGTTTAACTTGGTGTTTAACACTATGGACCAATAATATCCATTTCACATTATACATATAGGTTTATGTAAATAACATATTCATATGTTAGATAACCTATATTAATTAAATATGATTTTTTGAATTTTTTTATTTAGAATATATTTAAAATATTTTTCTTGCCTTTTTAAAATCATATATTCAATATTTCTAATGTTAGTCATATTAAAATACTTTGTGTGTTTAGTTTTTTCATGAATAGTCTGCTTATAAGATTAAGTTATACTATCAAATTATTTTAAATTTAAATATAAAATTATGGGTGTCACTAGATGATCCAAAAAAAATTATATTCACAGTATGAAATTGATTGGTTTGGAATTTGGATTATTTTTAAGTTTTATATATTCATAGAATACCTATTATTACAATTTTTATTTTTTTTTAAATCAAGATTTATCACTTTTTCTAAAAACTAAAATAAATAAAAACTTTGAAATAGAATCTTCTTAATAATTATGATCAGCGAAAAAAATTACCCATATTATCGATACTATATTAATTTAAATTAGAACAGATGGTAGTTAAATTATAATTTACGATCAAGCGATTTCATCAATTTTTTTTTTAATTAATATTGTATTGTTTATATGATAAGTATTATAATCTGACTATTATTCTAAAAGTTATGATATACACATATTTTCCTGGTATATCTGTACATATTCATATTGATATTTGTGTGTACTTTTATTTTATGATTTAGTTTTTATAGCATCATGTATGTTTTTTTTTATATTTAAATAATACTACTATATTATTATATAATTTTCTTTTTTTCAATTACATTATAATATTTGACATTTTTATTATTATTTATAATTTTATAATGATATTCATGTATGCGTTTTCATTTTACGTACCTACTAAGGTTTTTATATAATAAACAGCTTTTTTAGTATCAATAACGAGTGGTTTTTTACTTGAACTTTATACACTTAGTTACTTTCTATCTATTATTAGTTACTTACTGATATTATTACCTATATACTAGTCAAAAGTCTATGGTCTTACAAATCACTATTCAGTTAATACATTACCTATACTCTAAAGTATGTTATGTATTAAGCCATTTACGTATTGGATGAATAATAATTAATTAAAAAATAAGTAGTAGGCACCTACTAGATATGTTGAAGTGAATAATAAATGTCATTCCTATTTAATAATGTTTATTAGTCGCTCAAAGTCATTTAAGTTATAATTTGTTGGGGAAATGCCCATAGAGCGTGTTGATAACTACCGTACTTGTGTACCTATAGGTACAAATTATCGACAAGGACTTCGATAAAATAGACTGAAAACCCAATGGTGGGCAGAAGACGAGGAGATGGACCAGTACGTACCACATAGCGTCACATACTTCCCTTCCGCGCACACGTCTGACGTAAACGTTAAGCGTCTCGGCTCTTGTTTCCAGTCGATTCTAACTTCGCTCGTAGTTGTGAACTGGTTCCTGCATTAGCTTGATTTAAATATACCAATGTTCTTCGTATATCTAGTCTTCAATAGCATTACGATTATAACTTGATCCTTAAGACCAAGGGTCAGAAAAATTTTTGATGTCATTAAAGATTTTTCACAGGCCAAAATTTGAATATAACTTATTTTAAACAAAAATGTGTAATTTTATTAAATTTAGTCTATTTAAGTTCATAACTAGTAGGTTTTTTAATTTGACAAGGTATCTAAAAACAAACAACGATTTAATTCATACCATATTAGTTCATAACTTTTATATAAATAATACATTTTACTTGCCGGCAATATAAAATTACTATGTGTACGACATTCGGCATTACATACAATATACATAAATAAATTATTTCACATATTTGGCTTCAAATGAACGGACTTTTTATCACTCAAAATTATCAAAACATATCTGTGAAATACAATATATTATGAGGTAATAATAAATTGTCAAGAAGTTAAACATTTTAAAACTTATTCTAATTTATATATATTATTTTTGAAAAGACGAAATGGTTTAGCTTAAACATTCACAGACAAGTTGAAATTTCTATTGATGAAGTGATAGCAATGAGTTATCAAAACAAAACAAGATGACTGGAGCATGTTTTATAAAATAAATGTTGTTACCTATATAGATAAACTAGCTGATCCCGTGCACTTCGTTACCCGTTAAATGCATCAACTCTATATGACTCAAACTTTGTTCAATTCGTTATTTAATATTCAGTGTATTATTTATTATTTATCTTAACTTTTCCGTTGCCCGGAATAAAAATTCTGATTCGCAGCAGTACCTATATATTATCAGGTAGGCAATCTACCTGCGGTAGATGGCGGACCCCGTGATGTCTGTACGTAACTTTATAATTTAACTCTAAAGTATCAAAGTTATGCCAAGTATGTTACTGAACTAATCCTAAACGTTTTTACTAATTGTGAATGCCGAGTCAGTCGACCAATATTTCCTCCTCGTCCACGAATACGTGGCATCGATTGTTTTATGTAGGTACCGTGTACGTAACTTATATGTGAGTATATAATACGCTCAATATTTACGTAATTGTTATACATAATACAGCGTACAAAAAAATTAAATGCACTGAATACACTTATTTCACGGCAACCAATAATAGTTTATAATAATTTTAAAAAACCCATGGCAACCATTAATAAACAAAAATTTCCACCGTAAATCTCTAAATCCCCGTTTGAGCACATCCCATGGTTGGACCTGGGGTGATGATTTGTAGCCTATGTGTTATTCTAATGTATTATTGTAAAGTTTCATTAAAATCCATTCAGTAGTTTTTACGTGAAAGAGTAATAAAGTCACAGACTTTCGCATTTATAATATTAATAGAATATAATGTAGGTTATAACACATATTATATATTTAATTAAACCACATTCAAAAAAATTCCCAGGTATCTACTTTTCTACATTACTACAATGTAATGAACTATTAACTACAGATCCCTCCACCCACAGCAAACATTTGAGAACATGCATCTGTACGTAGAAGTTCCCACGAATAATATTTTTAAACTACAACAAAATAATTAAAATCGTCATTTTTTGTTTAAATATATAGTTTTTGTTCAAAATTGAACTTCAAATGTCCATAAAAAAAAATATATGTATATAAATATAGATTTTCAGATTTTTTAGTTTTCAGTGAAAGGTACTAATGAGAAACCTTGTATTACATTTTCAAGCCTTAGCTATAATAATTGACAGTGTTGGGTAAAATACTTTTAAAATGTAATGAAATTACGTTACTCGTTACTTAAAATATTTTTATTTAAATTACATTTGTGTTACCTAAAATTATTTTTATCAAGTTCCATTAATCTTTTATTAATAAAGTAGTGCGTTACAAATAACATAAATTTTTTTATCATTTTTTTTTTTAACCATATTAGATTCATATAATTCAAATGTTATGTATAATATATTGTATATATCTATTACAATCATAAACCTAGTTATAATAGACCTATTTTAGTATTATATACGAATTTACAATCATCTCGCCTATATGGCTATATAGTCTCATATGTCATAAATCATAATTCATTTTTATTACATTTTATTTTTAAACCGAACTCTTTTTTTCTGCTAATAAAGTGATATCATTTATTCCTGGAATATTTAGTAATATTGTTAACTATAATTATTATCGGATTCAAAAATAAATATAATTGATTTTTAATTTTTCTGGAATATAATATACCGTCTGTATTACATTCAAAACTATATAGAAATATATAACATATAGAAATTACTTTTCAAAAGTAATTTTGTTAGAATTGCATTACTTTAAGTAAAATGTAATGAAATTACTGCTACGTTATTGAGAAAATAATTGCATTACAGTAATTTGTAATTTGCGTTACGTTACTACCCAACACTTATAATTGAACATTTTTAGTTAAATAATAATTTAAACATTTCGTGATTTTGAATGTGAGACAATGTATTTTAGATTCTGAGTGAAACGATGAATGTATTGATTTTACAATGATGTGTTTTTTTAAGGAAATTGAATTTGGTTTTTGGTGTAACTTTAAAACAAATGACCGTAGATACATGAAATGTTCACTGGTTGTTTATATTTGCATTTTCTATACACGAAAATATTTTGATTTATTTTGAACTGTTTAGGTACATTTTCATTTTTCATTTTTTCTTAGTTTTTTTTCTAGAAATATCAATAAAATGTTATTTGTTGGTTAAAAGAACTTGAAAATTTCATAGAAGGCTCCTACTACATTGTTTCAAAGGCAGTTGAAAAATATTAAAACTCGTTAGTCAAAGTTTTTTTTATAAGCATTTAAAGTACAAAAATTGACAAAATATGGAAAAATCACGACAATTAGCAACTTATTTTGAGTTAAGAATTCGTAAAAATTTTTATTTTTAAATCTAAGATTTGAAAATGTAATACAAGATTACTCATAAGTTTGTCTACCTTTATCAATAAAAAAATCTCTACCGGGCGGTCAAATTAAATTTTTATGAGCGTTTGAAATTCAAATTTTAACAACATTGGATGTTCACTGGATTTCTCATGTAGCGATTTCCTTATTTTGTTGTTATTCATA